CCCTCACACGTTTCGTGGCCCCATGGGGAGCTGCACCGAAGGCCCCAGTGCCGCCGCCCGCATGCGTCCCGCAGACACAATTCGGCACAGCCCTCACACGTTTCGTGGCCCCAGGGGGTGCTGCACCGAAGGCCCCAGTGCCGCCGCCCGCATGCGTCCCGCAGACACAATTCGGCACAGCCCTCACACGTTTCGTGGCCCCATGGGGAGCTGCACCGAAGGCCCCAGTGCCGCCGCCCGCATGCGTCCCGCAGACACAATTCGGCACAGCCCTCACACGTTTCGTGGCCCCATGGGGAGCTGGTGGTCCCGACAGCTTGCCTAGGGCCGATTTCTTCGTCGTCGTCGTCGTCCGTCGTCGTCGTCGTCCGTCGTGCGGGCGGCCCGCGCGCGCCGCACGGGGCGAGAATCTGATCCCCCGTGGAGACCTGCGCGCGTCGCGGGGGCTCCGCGTAGCGCGGCGCCCGCAGCCTTGAACTTTGGAGTACGCGGGCAAAGAGGAAGGAAAAGAAGGGGAGGAAGCGGGCGCGATCCTCGTGTGGGGCGTGCCGACCTGGGCGTCGCGGCGCGCGGGCGCTGCCGTCGGGGTTCCCAGGAAAACTCCTTGCGGAAGCTACGCTCAGTGTCACGAGTTCTCAGAGTCAGGCAGACCCAAACCATTCACAGTCGTATGCACTTACACTAGGCGACTCCATGCTCGCAGTCATGAAAATAGAACCAATCGCACGCATATCCATTCAGAATCAGACTCGCTCGCGCTTAGACTCGCCCGCACTCGAGCTTTCATACTCAGACCAATCGTTTTCGTTCGTGTTGTGTACCCTATCACACAATTCGGCACCCCCTCATACGGTTCGTGACCCCATAGGGAGCGCCGCCGAACAATCTATTCACAATTCCCTTTTTCACAATTGCGTATGGTTGGGCCCCTCGCCAGGCTAAATTTTTTTCTCCCCAGGGTCGCGCTCGCTACCCGGGCCAAGCCCCTCTCCGGCCCCCGCTGCCCTCCCACCTCGGGTAACGCTAACGATCGTACGGACGGGGGTGGAGGCCTAGACCCCCCCCCCCCTACCTGCTGTGGTGCACACAAGCGATTGATGCGCCACTGGCGCGGACGCACCCTGGCGGGTGCACGCCGCGGCCGCCGTTACTGTTACCCTCCCGCCCTCCCCCCTCCCACCCGGGTAACGACCGTCACCCGGGAAAGAGAAAAAGGCCACCTCGAGGATGGACGACGGTGTATCCCTGACGCAAGCACAGATTTTCGATGCCGCGGTTTCTCACGTGGCCCTCCGAGGTTCAGAGACCACTTTCCTCGCGGCCGTTCCTTTCATCACTTCGCGTTCACGACGCGATGAGGTCAGGGTGCGCGTCCCTCAGCCATGCCTCCGGGGTTGCCAGAGGTGGTCCTGGCACAAAGTGCCCCAAGATTTTCGTGCCAGTTCTGAGCCCCTGGGGCCCTCTGGGCCTCGCGAGGGGTGCTCCGGAGGCAACCTGGGCAACGGAACCTCGGCCGCGGCCATATTCGGCGGCGGCGGCGACGGCCGACGGCGACGACGTCGATGGCGCCAGCGACGGCCACAGCTGCGGCTGTGCCGGCGGCGGCGGCCGAGTGAAGACGGCGGCCGCAGCCACGGCGACAGCGACAGCCCTCGCAGGGCCAGGCCATGTTCTTTTTGTTTCGTTGTTCTTTTCGCTTGTTTGTCATTGTTGTTGTGGTGGTTGTTGTAGTTGTTGTTGGTGTTTTGCTGCTGCTGCTGTCGTTGTCGTAGTCGTAGTCGTAGTCGTTGTCGTTGTCGTTGTCGTTGTCGTTGTTGTTATTGTTGCTGCTGCTGTTGTAATTGCAAGTGTTGTTGTTGTTGTTGTTGTTGTTGTTGTTGTTGTTGTTGTTGTTGTTGTTGTTGTTGTTGTTGTTGTTGTTGTTGTTGTTGTTGTTGTTGTCGCTGTTGTTGTTGCTGCTGCTGCTTTCGTTGCTGTTGTTGTTGCGGCTGCTGCTGTTGTCGTTGTTGTTGTGCTTTTTGTTGTGCTCGTTTTTGTTGTTGTTGTTGTTGGTGGTGGTGGTGGTCTTGTTGTTGTTTGCGTTGTTGCTCGTGTTAGGCATGCGCTCACACACATTATTTATATACATATATATACATATCTATATATCGGCTGTTTTTTTAATGCTTGCGCTGGTGTGGGTGTGAAGGTACCAGATGGGCCTCAAGTTCATCTGGGGCGAGGCCGCCTGCTCCCCCCTCTCGTGGCCTGTCTCCTCGCGGGTGCGGGGATGGAGGAGGCGGGGGGCAGGAAGGGAGGGAGGTTTTTTTTGTTTGCAATCCTTCGTTCAAGGTTTTTTTTTGCAATCCTTCGTTCAAGGTTTTTTTTTGCAATCCTTCGTTCAAGGGAGGTTTTTTTTTTTTTGCAATCCTTCGTTCAAGTGAGGTTTTTTTTGTGTTGCAATCATTCGTTGCAATCCATCGTTCAAGTGAGGAGGCGGGGGACAGGAAGGGAGGGAGGGGATGGGGTGCGCTCGCGTCATATATCCAGGGCGCATCTCGACGCCCCCGAGTCGATTCGATTTCGACTTCGATGGCTACCGATTCCGATGCGATTCGATCTGGGATTCCGATTTGGGTTCAGATTCGTTATTGGACGCATACCAGCCTGCCGATTTCCGCCGATTCGACTTTTTCCGACTCGGCTGCCGATTTCCGCCGATCGGATTCATTTCGATTGCCGATCCGACTTACTGATTCGATGCTGTATTCTCCTGCATATCTGACGTCCTACCCCTCCCTCCCATCACTTACCATGGCGTATATTTCCTCTCTATTCGCACAGTCGGATGTCGAGCAGGGCAATGACCCCGAGAGGGTGCGCGATGCATCGTAGAGCACGGCATAGCAGGGCGTAGAAGAGCACGGCAGAGCGTAGTATGTCATAGCATGGCGTTGCGCTGCGTAGTGGAAAATTGTATCACAAATCATTGCAACGCGAGGAATGGCATCGCACAGTTGCACATACCAGACATGGCATAGCATGGCTTCGAAACTCAACGTGTAGCATGGAATACCATTGCGTGGCACTGCGTAGTCAAGCACTGCGTATCCTAACATTTCAGCTGATGACATGGCATCGCACAGCCGAACACCACATAGTATTGCATTGCATGTCGTGACACGGCATTGGAAATGATGACGCCAGCGCTGCAGCGGGAGCACGATTCAGAACGAGGGGAAGCGCAAAAATGAGGCCATCGCTTCAGCGGGAGCCGGATTCGGAACGAGCGGAAGCCCGAAAATGAGGCCAGCGCTTCAGCGGGAGCAACATTTTGAAACAACCCAAGCGACACCCAACTCCCTGGAATCCTGCGAGTAAAAAAAGTACGCAGAGGGGGGCCGAATAGCTTCCAGACGTCATCAGGGGAGAGAGGATAGTAGTATTCATATTGAGTAATCGTGGAGGAGGGGTGGGGGAAAGAAAGGGGGACGAAGAGGAGGGACGAGGGGGCGGAGGTAGGATAGCAGGGAAGGGGACGAGAAGGAGGAGCGATGCTGATGATGCTGATGCTGATGATGATGATGATGATGATGATGATGATGAGGAGGATGAGGAGGATGGTGATGATGATGAGGATGATGATGATGAGGATGAGGAGGATGACGATGATGATGATGTTGATGATGATGATGCTGATGCTGATGCCGATGCTGATGATGCTAATGCTGATGATGACGATGATGATGATGACGATGGTGGTTGCGGTGATGATGCTGATAATGATAATGATGGTGATGATGCTGATGCTGATGGATGATCGTGATGGTGATGGTGATGGTGATGATGATGATGATGGTGATGATGATGATGATGATGATGATGATGATGATGATGATGATGATGATGATGATGATGATGATGATGATGAGGAGGAGGAGGAGGAGGAGGAGGAACATGAGTATGAGGATTAGGATGAGGAGGAGGAGGAGGTAGGGCGGAGCAGAGAAGAAGGGCGTATCCCCACTAGCACGCCGTAGGCGGCCTCGCCCGCGCGTGTAATTTAGATCGGCCCGTGGACCGGACCTTTCAACTCGGCGCCTGCGCTTTCGCTTGCGCCCGCGAGGAAAAAAGTATCCCCACTAGCCGTCAATTAGTAGGCCCGCGCCCCGGACTTACGACTCGCCGCTTGCGCTCTCGCCTGCGGCCGCGACCAAACAAGTATCCCCACTAGCCTTGCCACCTGGGCGGCGCGTGCCGCTCGCACCCGCCCTTTCGGCTCTTCTCCTCCCGTCGCCGCCTGTCCTTCTACGGCCCTCTGGCCGTTCCCTCCCGCCACGTGCAGCGTGGTCTGGTCGCCCCCGCCCAAGGTGCCCACTCGACACCCCTCGGTGTCTGGCGATCCAGATCGCATTCGTTGAGCGCCCCCATGCCCAGTCTTTCCCCTGTGACGGTGGCTCGCTGTCAATGTTCCGCATCCCTCGTCTTGACCTGGGCTTGCTGTGCGTCTTGCTGGCGGTCTTCTTCGTCAGGGACGTGATTGGCTATCCGAATTACCACCTGGTGCTGCACTTCGCCCGGATGCACCTCCTGGCGTGCTCTCTCCACCGAGCGGCAGCGAGGCTCGCCTCCTGTTAGCCTCTTCCCCTGCTGGGTCTAGTTCTGTTTTGGTCCTCCCTCTTCCTTTGCGCTAATTTAGGCCGTTGCTAGTCTGCACCGGCCCCTTGACGCCGCCTGACGGGGAGAGAGAGGGAGAGAGACGCGTAGCCAAACAGCTGGGGCGGACTGCCTCTGCCTCGCCGCCGACGGAAGTGTGTGGATTCTGGTGCGCCACGCGGGGGAAATACCGTGGAGGCGCGCATCAATAGACCAGCTGCTTCTCTCGTTCGGGTGCCTTGGGTGTCTTCGCTCAGCGCGCTGCGCGAAGGCTTCCCGCGGCCGCTGAAGAAGTTGCTGCGTTCAGTGTGCTCTGGGTTCCACCCCCGTGTGCATCTCGCGCGCCGGGTTTCAAGGCTGGGTTTCTTGCGAGGGTTTCTTGCGGCCGCGTCCGCGCTGTACGAAATCATTTACCATTGTGATCATCGCAGGTGCGATGATCGAGGCGCATGTCTCTTCTCGCGGCTGCGGCGTCAGCCACAGGTGAGGAAGCTCCGGCCGTGACGAGAATGACGCGTGGACGCCACTAGCAGCAGCAGTGAACGCGTGCACGCCACGAAAACGACGCGTGAACCCTGCCTTTCCCGCCGTGCCGTCGCCATCATCGCCGTCGTTCCACCGCTGCAGCTGTCATCGCCGCCGTCGTCAGACCCAAGTCTGTGCACCTTCGCTCCTCGGACCCCTCCCAGGATCCACCCTGTCAAGTTTTTTTTTTTTTTTTTTTTTTTTTTGAGGCTACGAGAACGTCCATGGGGGCCCGCCGACCTCCGAAACAAAGACGTCGAAGTCAAAGTCGCGGTTGAAGTCGTCGTCGTCGTCGTCGTCGTCGTCGTCCGCTCGTGGGCTCGAGGTCCTGGAGATGAAGCCCGACAGGACCGCCGTGATCAAGCCGATGTTCACGACGGTGTGCCACGCCAACGAGGGCGAGGGGGAGGAGTGAGGGAATGAGGAGGAGTGAGGGAGAAAAGGAAGATGGAGATGGAGGAGGAGGAGGATGATGATGATGCCGATGATGAGGATGCTGACGCTGATGATGATGAGGATGCTGATGTTGATGCTGATGATGATGGTGGTGGTGGTGATGATGACGATGGTGGTGGTGGTGGTGGTGATGGTGATTGTGGTGGTGATGATGACGATGATGATGGTGGTGGTGGTTATGATGATGCTGATGATGATGGTGGTGGTGGTGATGATGATGATGGTGGTGGTGGTGATGATGATGATGGTGGTGGTAGTGATGATGGTGGTTGTGATGATGATGATTGTGATGATGATGAAGATGATGATTGTGATGATGATGATGATGATGATGATGATGATGATGGTGGTGGTGGTGGTGGTGATTATGATGGTGATGCGTCTGGTGGTGGTGGTGGTGATGATGATGATGATGATGATGAGGATGCTGACGCTGATGATGATGAGGATGCTGATGCTGACGATGATGATGATGATGATGGTGGTGGTGATGATGATGATGATGGTGGCGGTGGTGGTGATGATGATGATGGTGGTGGTGGTGATGATGATGCTGATTATGATGGTGGTGGTGGTGGTGGTGATGATGATGATGGTGGTGATGATGATAGTGATGATGATGGTGGTGGTGATGCTGATGGTGGTGATGATGATGATGATTGTGATGATGATGATGACGATGATGCTGATGATGATGATGATGATGAGGATGCTGATGCTGACGATGATGATGATGATGATGATGATGATGATGATGATGATGATGATGATGTGATGATGATGATGATGATGATGATGATGATGATGACGATGATGATAATGATGATGATGGTGGTGGTGGTGATTCTGTTGGTGATGATGATGATGATGGTGGTGGTGGTGATGATGATGATGATGATGATGATGATGATGATGATGATGATGATGATGATGATGATGATGATGATGCTGATGATGATGATGATGATGATGATGATGATGATGATGATGATGATGATGATGATGATGCTGATGATGATGATGATGATGATGATGATGATGATGATGATGATGATGATGATGATGATGATGATGCTGATGATGGTTATAGAGATTGAGGATGGAGGATGGAGGACCAGGAGGATGGAGGATGTTGGAGGAGAAGGACGTGCGAGGAGGGCGAGGAAGACGAAGTGGGGGAGGAGGAGGAGAAGGAAGTCGAGGAGGAGGAGATGGAGGAGGAGGATGAGGATGGAGGAGGGATGTGGAGGATGTGGGAGGAGAACGAGGAGGATGATATGGAGTAGGATTCGCAAGATGAAGTAGGAGAATGACTGAGGAGGATGATGATGAGGAGGAGGAGGAGGATGAGGGTTATCTATTGGATCTATTGTTGTAGGACACCAGTCCGATGATACAGAACAGATAATAATACCTGGTGGAAGAGGGAGGAGAAACAGGAGGGATGATAAGAATTGAGGTTGGAGTGATGGGGATTATGACGACGATGACAATGACCATGACGATGCCGACGATGACGACGAATACGAGAATGATGATGAGGATCAGGATGAGGATGTTGATGCTGATGAAGCTGATGATGAAGCTGATGAGGATGAGGATGATGATGATGATGAGGATGATGATGCGGATGCTGACGCTGATTATGGTATTGATGCTGACGAGAATGCAGAACGGGGGGAGGATGTTCGACGGCGATGGCAACGATGACGATGACGATAACGATAACGATGATGATGAGGATGATGAGCGATGATGAGTGATGATGATGCTGATGATGATGAGGACTATGATGATACTGTTGACAACGATGACGATGATGATGACGATGATTATGATGATGGTGATATGATGATGATGACGACCATGATGATGATACTGCTG